AGGTATGATGACACATGGCTTTAATCACAATGCTTCTGAGACTGAGGCAAAAGTATTGTGGTTTAAAAATGGTCTTGGCTACATAAAAATTTTCAGACCAGCCAGAGTGGACTAAATATTAAGACCTTGTTTCAATTTTTTAAAAATAATACAAGTTCAAGGCTGGGAAGATGGCTCAGTGGTAGAGCGCTTGCCTTGCATGCCTGAGGCCCTGAGTTCGATTCCTCAGCACCACATAAGCAAAAAGAAAAAAGCCGGAAGTGGCGTTGTGGCTCAAGTGGTAGAGCGCTAGCCTTGAGCTGAAGAGCTGAGGGACAGCGCCCAGGCCCAGAGTTCAGGCCCCACGACTGGACCCAAAAAAAAAAAAAAAAAAAAAAAAAAAGAATTCTGAAAAAAAAAAATAATACAAGTTCAGTCCTGGTAAAAAGTTTGTGAGTTTCCATCTCATCAAAGAAACTGCAGTTTCTCCTCTCATTCAATATTGTGCTAGAATTCCTAGCCAAAGCAATAAGGGAAGAGAAAGAAATTAAAGGGATACAAGTAGGAATAGAAGAAGTGAAACTATTTGTAGCTGATATGATTCTATATTTAAAAGATCCTAATGACTCACCTAAAATCTCATATGTATGTTAAACACTTTTGGCAAAATATCGGAATAACAAATCAATGTAGAAAGAGAATAGGCTCACTTATATTCTCTAAATTGTTTTTAAGTATAAAGCCGGTTTATCCGGTCATTTATATAAAAGTGGAAATATTAGAAAAACTTGTCATAATCACAACATAGTTACATTCTGGTGCATTCTTTTTCAATCAATATGTTACTTAGATGTTAATTGTTTAATAATCTGAAATGAAGTTACAACAATAATAACTAAAATTTAGATTGGCCTAGTATGCACCAAATAATTTTCTAAGCATTTTACATACATTAACCCACTTAATTTTCATGATGACCCAATGAAATGGATACTTCTGAAATTCCTTAAAGGTTTGCAAACTTTATTTATTTATTCCTTTATCAGTTTTTTTGTGTGTGTTTGTTTTTGTCAGTCATGAGGCTTGAACTAGTGGTCTGGGCCCTGTCCATTAGCTCTTTTACTCAAGGCTAGTGCTCTACTACTTTGAGCTACAGCTCCACTTCTGGTTTTTGAGTGGTTAATTATAGATAAGAGTCTCATGGGGACTTTTCTGCCCGGGCTGGCTTCAAACCATGATCCTCAGATCTTAGCTTCTTGAGTTACAAGGATTACAGGCATGAGCCACTGGCACCTGGCTAGTTTTTTTTTCTTTTTCTGACATTATTTATTTATCATTTTAAAGTAATTGTAGAAAGAATGTGCTGTTTAACAAAGTTTATGAATATAATGCCCTTTAATCATTATCACCACCTTCAACATTCTCACCCCCCTTCAACTGGTTCACTCCTTCCCTTATTTGTTTTAATTTGGGGGTATATACAATGAATTCTTGACTGAATTCCCCTTTTCCCCCTTCATTCATGTATACTCTCTCTTTGTTCCCACACTCTCTCTTGGATGTATCTATTTCCTATCTATTTGAGTCCTCATTGAGTTGATTATATTTCAGTTCTTTCATTTGTAACCACTTGCATAGGGCCCATCCCACGTGGTTACTTCTAGATTTATAGGTACAGTCTACCACAAATGAAGGAAACCATGCAACCTTTGTTTCTCTGGGGTCTGGCTTACTTCACTTAATATAATTTTTTCCAACTCTTTCTATTTCCTTATAAATGGCACAATATCATTCTTTCTAATAGATGAATAAAATTCCATAAAATTCCATAGAACATTTTCTTGATCCATTCATCTATTGAGTTTTATCTGAGCTGATTCCATATCTTGGTATGGTAAATAGAGCTGCAATGACCATGATTGTGCTGGTAGCATTACTATAATCTTGGATTGTGTTCCAATGGGTGAATGCCCAGGAGTAGGATTCCTGAGTCATAGGGTAGTTTATATTACATTTTTTACATTGCATTCCACACTGCTTTCCAGAGTGGTTGAACAAGCTTACATTCCCACCAACAGTCTATTAGAGTTCCCTTTTGGCCACATCCTTGTCACAATTTGTTGTTGTTTATTTTCTGATGATGCGCTTTCTAACTGGGGTGAGGTTCAATTTCAGTATTGTCAAACTTTATTTTTATGTGACACAAAAAACCTAAAACTTACATCTACATATAATGCTATACACAGTAATAAGATATCACATAATAATTTGATATCTGCAGTACAATATAAGGTTTAAAGTGGGTAAAGCATATTTGTATCCACAAACATTTCAGGAAGAAATTTATCATTAAGGCTTTTAATATGCTTTCTCCATTCTATCAACATAGAAATTAAGAAACCAGTAGCTGTTTCAACTAGAGTGCTAATTAATGATAAATTCACAACTTGAGTTCACAAACTTTGTGCTGCCTTTAACAGAAAGAAGTAAATTCCTTAGTATATGGAAAATATGCAGAACAATGTGTGACACATGCTATAAATTCAATAGATGCTGGCTAATATTATTAGTATTATATAGAGTTTAATAATCTGATATCAAAATTAAGTCATAAAAATGTTTATCCTATCATGCAATCTTGTGAACCACTTTTTAAATGACAGCACATTATCTATAAAATGACTCAGCAATTATTATTTAATTCTTATTGGTGACTATATTGCTTTTAGTTTTTTCTTATATTTAGATTTTTTTCTCTACTTTTATTTATTTATGTTTGGTTACTGGGGTTTGAACTCAGGGCCTCACTCTTGCTAGGCTGGTATTCTACTACTTGAGCTATGTTTCTAGTAGCTTTCCCCTCCTATATTTAGGTCATTTTAAAATGACAATTTCCTAAGAGTAAAAGTAGGATAAAAATAGGGTTTAAACCTTAATGAATTTAAACATTTTTGTGTTTTTTTTATTCACATCTGAAACTACTCTTTAAAAAAAATTCGTATCTGAAACTACTTGCACCATTTGCTCAGTAGCTCAGTATTTACAACTGTCATAGAGCTTATTTACATGAATATGAGCTTGCCCAAAGAAACAGTACAAAACGAATCCCATCATTTTCAATACAATAGACTTTCAAATATCTTAAAATGCACACCGCAACTTTGCACACTATGTAAAGCTAAAAATAAGAATAAAAATTCACTTGATCCACTTGTACCATGTACAATCTCTCAATTCTTTTTAGACATTTCACTTCATGATAAACATTTCTAACTTTCCCATGAAAATCACTTGCCTGACAAAGCTTCCAGGCTCTTTAACCATCTGAGTCCTACTCCTAAATACACTCCATTGTTGTCTATGTCTCTCTAACTCTGAAGCTTCCAGACATGGCCTAACCAGTGCAGAGCACAGAGGGACTATCACTTTCCTTGACCAGGGCATCTATTTCCAGCAAGGCAGCCTAAGGTCACATTAGCATTTTTGGCACTAACATACACCATTGGCTCATGTTTACATGCTATTGACGAAATCCACCATGACTTTTTCACATGAACTCCCATTAAATGAGGTTGCCCACATCCTGTGCTAATACAGAGCAGTATACAGTTTAGTAATGTTGCTTACTTAGGTTTCTATTAACTTTATGATTCTTTTTGTCTAATGTACAGCTAAATTGAAATGACAAGCTCCCTAGGAAGATATATACTTTTAACCACAGCTGACAAAAAAAAGATATATACTTTTAAGTATTCTAATGCTGTATCTGTCTTTATTCAATTCATTAATAAAGGCATATCTTAAGACAATCAGATGCTCAACCTTTGGTTGCAACCTTTGATTGCAAGAAATCAGTCTTTGGATATAGCTGTTTAGCCATCAATCAACCAGCAACTTGAATCCACCAAATACCTCAACATTCAACCACATGCATCCATCTTATTCCTAAAGATAGCTAGGAGACTGTTAAATGTCTTGTCAGACATAAATCACTGCATTTTTCCATTAGTCACTATTACAGTGGTTTCAGACTTCTGCCTAAGAACTCAGTAAGTCATTTCTAACCTACTACATATCTAAGTTCTTATAAACTAGTACATGTTTATATTAAACTCATAATGATTTCATGTTTATATTTCCTGAATCCTCTCTGAAATGATGAATTTCTCATTGGAAAAATCTCTTAATGCTTATGGGTCTTTTGTAAAAAAAAAAAAGCACAGTGGCAGACTTAGCTAATAAATATTAGTTCAAATTTTAAAACAATGCTAAAAAGTGGTTTGTATGTCCCTCCCCCACAGTATAACCTCTGCTTTCATTGTATTTGATGTTGGTATAATTTGGGTAGGGGACCCATTGCAACAATGAGATGTACAAGTCGTTATGTCGAAAAACGAACTTTACAAGTTTGGCTGGGGATGGGGTGGGTGGGTAGGAGATGGGAAGGGATGGGAAGGGGAATCAAAGGAGGAGGAGGCAACAATGCTTGATAAGAAATGTACTCATTACCTTGCCCATGTAATTGTAATCCCTCTGTACGATATTTTCACAATAAAAAAATAGAAGGCAAAAATTTTTGAGGTCTTTCTTATTCTTAAAAGTATATCCTGGCTGGGAAGGTGGCTCAATGGTAGAGTGCTTGCCTTGTATGCATGAGGCTCTGGGTTCGATTCCTCAGTACCACATAAGCAGAAAAAGCTGGAAGTGGTGCTGTGGTTCAAGTGGTAGAGCACTAGTCTTGAGCCAAAGAGCTGAGAGACAGTGCCCAGACCTAGAGTTTAGGCTCCACAACCAACAACAACAACAACGAAAGTATATCCTAAAAAAGTATACACTAGTTCAAATCAATCTGCAAATTTGCAGATTTGCCTATTTGAATAAAACTAAATTACCAACAAGATAACTATTTTATTGTGCCTATCGGATTACTGTCAACTCTCTAGAAATTTGTCATAAAATAATTAAGACAAAAGCAATTCTTTTTGCTCAGAAATGTGAATTGATTTTATTTTAACTTTCAGGGTGCTTATTGGTTCTCCTTTAGTTGGCCAGCCCCAAACCAGAACTGGAGATGTTTATAAATGTCCAGTTGGGAGAGGTGGATCATTACCTTGTATAAAGTTGGATCTACCAGGTAAGTAAAATTAAAAACAATATATTAAATCTCACTATTCTCAGTGAAAAGTTTTCAAGTGACTAAAAAGACATTATTAGATGTAATCCAAAAGCATTCTTCAGTAAAAATCCGAATTCACATAGAATTACATCATGATTTCCTCTTCTTTTAGCTTGCTTTAGTAACTATCAAGAAACATCTTTAGATTTAGAATTATTTTTACTAATTTTACCACCTTTGGCACCCCCAGCTCAAAATCCTTTGGTAACATGAAAGAAATTTGCCAAATAAACTTGTTCATCACAATTCTCCCACAAAATTTAATTTAGTGCTTGCTTCTCACACAGAACTAGAACAAGAAAAAGAATGATAGAGTTTGTTAAAAGAATAAGAGCTATTCCCATAAAAGAACAAGGAGATACATTTATATTAAAACAGATGCATGTGATAGAAATATCACTGCAGTTAGAACATGACCAGAAAATTCCTTTAGAATTATTCAGGAATTAGAAGAATTAATTCTATGTTCTATAGAATTCAGTGTTCTGTAGAACATTGAATATCATGAAAACAATTTCTTTCTTTTTTCTGGAGATTCTTACCTCTAACCACTCAAAAACTGGAAGTGCCCCACTGTGGCTCAAACTGGTAGAGCTCTAGCCTTGAGAAAAAAATCCCAGAGACAGTGCCCAGGCCCTGAGTTCAAGTCACATGACTCTAGTTGCCTTTTAAGATTTCTGATTTTCATTGTGAACATTATTCTGTGAATATTATTCTGTTTTTGTTCCTCTACCTGAGAATTCCAACTTCAGGAATATCTCAGCATCATTTTCCACTTATTGCTTTTCCTTGAGATTGAGTCACATTTTCTTGCTTCTTTTGTGTTATATATCTGGAACATAATCAGGATTATATCTTTTAACAGAAGAATGGAAGGTCTAGATCCTACTATATATTTTGTATCAACTTTTTGTTTAAACTATTTCATTTGGCTGAACATAATTATTGAATTCTGATCTTTTTGCAGTGAAAAGTAATTTAAAATCTCTCTTCAGTTTTTGCTACATCTTCTACATAACAAAAAAGTCACTTAACCAGTGCCAATCTCCTGTTCCAGGTTCCTCTCTAGCTTCTTTTTGTCTCTTTGCCTTCATGTTTTTTTTTCATAACTATTTTCTTCTTCTCACTAGAATTTACAATAATCATCAGCAAAAATCATCAGCAAAACAGTTGTTCACAGAGGAGCTACTCTTCCACTAATGGAAGCTACATTTTTGTTTTCTAAAATCAGCACAGATATTTAAACATCAAGAATAGTAAGACGTTTCTACAGTGGCCTGTAATGGTTCCAGCATGCTTATCCTAGCTCAACATTTTTGTAAGAAAAACTCATATCCAGATTATTGAGGCCAGTGTATAGCAAAGCCCAGTTCCAGGTATAGAGCACATAAAATTATTGGATATAAACCAATGCTAAGATTACTGTGTTAGACTGACCCTGAATCACAGCTTCATTACCAACTTCTTCTTTTTTTTGGAGGGGGGTGGGTCCTGAACTCTGGGCCTGGGCGCTGTCCCTCAACTCTTCAGCTCAAGGCTAGCGCTCTACCACTTGAGCCACAGAGCCATTTCCGGCTTTTTTCTTTTTGCTTATGTGGTGCCGAGGAATCGAACCCAGGGCCTCAGGCATGCAAGACAAGCGCTCTACCACTGAGCCACCTTCCCAGCCCCCAACTTCTTCTTAATGTTACTATTTTTTTATTTCTACTACAGTGCTGAGTTTTGAATTCAGGATATTCTTGCTAGGCAGGCATTCTACCACCTCATTTACACTCCATTCCCTTTTGCTTTAGTTATTTTTCAGGTAGAGTTTCTTGGGATTTGCTTTGTTGTTGTTTGGTTTTGTTTGTTTGGGGTCTAAGGCTAGCTTAGCACCATAATTCTGCTACCTATACACTCCCGCATAGTTTGGATGTGGTCTCAATTACTTTTTGCCCAGCCAGTCTCAAATCTTGATCCCCCTGATTACCTCCCATGTAGCTGGGTATACAGGTGTATGCCTGTTGTCAATATAAAGTCTATAGATACAAAGACAGAGATCTTCAGGTAGGGCTCCTTCTAGCTATGACCAGTAGGCACATCTATCTCCAACTTGAAGTATTTATGCAGTCTACTAATCAGGGTTTAGGAGCTGTTGTTTTGCCTGTCCAGTCTTACAGGTGAAACAGATTGCTAATTTTGTCAGGTTAGATCACTGGAGGCCCCACCATTCTAGCGTGGAATGTCAAGTGTACCCCTTTCATTGAATCCCCTTCACCCAAACTTCCTGGCCACTTCTCTAGGCTTGCTCCAGTTTTCTTTGTAATCTTCATTGTTTGGAAGAATCATGCTGAAAAAATTTTATGTTTGACTTTTCTGTTTTACACATCTTCTCTTTCCATCTCAGAAATCACATTTCATCACTGGTTGTTTATAATGAAGAATGTAGGGTTGCTTTGCATTTACAATCTCATAAAACTATGTATTTTATTCATTTTAATTAGCAAAGATGTGTGAAAAGCAGTCTCACATTCTCAGTGTCCTGCTAGTTCTGCATTCTTTCACAGTTCAGCCCAACTACTTGAAACAGTGATACAGACTGTTTCTGGGATTGAAGCCAGCCCCTCAGCCCTCACTAGTTCATTGTATTCCTTAGTAACACTTGCAAGTCTACTGAGTGGAACCAAAAGAAGAATGTGCTATGATATCAACAAAACAAATAGAATCTTTTAGGGAGAGGGCACTTTCACTTGGCGGAACATGTTTTCACACTTACACTTACTTCTTTGCAGTGAATACATCAATTCCCAATGTCACAGATGTAAAAGAGAATATGACTTTTGGATCAACTTTAGTCACCAACCCAAAAGGAGGGTTTCTGGTAAGAAAGAAGAAAATAATAACACTTTGTAACAACAGGAATACATCATTATGCATCTTGTTATTAAAAATCTGTTCTTTTATCTTATACTTTTTGTTTTTTTTAATTTTTTAAAAGGCGTGTGGGCCCTTATATGCTTATAGATGTGGACATTTGCATTACACAACTGGAATCTGTTCTGACATCAGCCCCACATTCCAAGTGGTGAACTCCTTTGCCCCTGTACAAGGTACATATTTTATGCAATATTCTTGCATGTTTGAAAAGCATAAGCAATGAGTGAGGCATAAGTATACACAGAAGCATACCAAAAAGCTACAAGCATTTTTTATTTCCATCTGTCACCATTACCAATTTAGGTAAATGTTTGCTTTGCCAGTATATAATAAAGCTGCAATGCTATTATTGGAATTGATATTAGTGCAAATAACCTCCACAGAGTCAGGTTTGAACTTCTAACCATGTTATTATGTATTTAAAGTTGAGCCTGTTTGAGGAAAGTAACTTCATCTGAAGTATGCTTAGAATGAAAATGTCATCCCAAATTCCTATTGAGAACTTTTCCAGATACAAAATTAATGAAAATTAGAAATAGTTCTGTTTGTTGTAAACCCAAACCAACTTTAGATGAATGCACTGAGCATTTCTTACCTCCTTTGCTTTTTCTAAATCCATTATTTTTTTCTAATCATAAGAGCAGTAGGTCCAGTCTATAGCATATTAGCTTACCAATTAAAATGAATTTCTTTGCCCCATTTGTTAGGAAATGGAAAGACTTGGAAAAAATTATATTAAATGAAGTAAGCCACGCCCAAAGAAACATAGGTCCCATGATTTCCCTTATTTGCATTAACTAGTGTATGTCTGAGACAAGCAGAAACGGTCAGATAAGTTGATGTTAGGTGAAATGAACCCCAAGATAAGAATTCAAATGTGTTTTTCTTTCTTGCGATGTGTCTAACATATTTATAAAATGATTTCTTTGTTGCTTTGTATGTCCTTCCCCCACAGTATAACCCCTGCTTTCATTGTATTTGATGTTGGTATAGTTTGTGGAGGGAAAGGGCAAAAACAACTGTTTAACTAGAGATACAGGTGGACCCATTGCAACAATGAAATGTACAAGTCGTTATGTTGAAAAACGAACTTTACAACTTTGGCAGGCAGTGGGGGGGGGGGGAGGGTTGGATGGGAAAGCGACGGGAAGGGGAAACAAAGGAGGAGGCTACAATGCTTGATAAGAAATGTACTCATTATCTTGCCCGTGTAATTGTAACCCCTCTCAGTATTTTCACAATAAAAAATTAAAAATAAATAAAATGAATTTCTTCCCACCATGAAAAGTTTCTCACTCCTCTCAAAAGAAGGTTCTGAGTTTGCATAATCACCTCTTCCTATTTCAGAGTGCAGTACACAGCTGGACATAGTCATCGTGCTGGATGGCTCCAACAGCATTTACCCCTGGGAAAGTGTCACAGCTTTTTTGAATGACCTTCTTAAAAGAATGGACATTGGTCCGAAACAGACACAGGTACATAGCTCTGGGTTTATATTTCTCTTGCTCTAAACAAAAAATTTTAAAGGCTTTTATTGAATATGAATATTTGAAAAATAGTCTAACTCATAAAGGTAAACTAAGGATGAATTTTATATTCTATAGCCATGATTTTATTTAAGATCATATTATTTCCTAAAGAGGAAATGTGAAAGTTGCCATTCTCAGTGTTCTCAGAAACTATCCTCAATATATCTCTATAAAGTCATAATTTAATTCTCAATTATGTAACAAATGAACTTACCTTCAGTGATATCAGAGAAGAGTTTCAGAGTTTGTAGAGAAAGTCTAAAATTACCTATAATCTCTTTTCTCATTCTAGATAAACAAATTAGTAATTGACTACTGGATATTTATTAAAGTATATTTTTCTCTGTATTAATACTTGCTTTTGTTGTTGGTGGTGGTATAGTCATAGAGCTTGAACTCAGGGCCTGAGCACTGTCCCTGACTTTTTTGGCTCAAAGCTAACCCTCTACCACTTTGAGCCACAGCTCTACTTCTGGTTTCAGTTGGTTAACTGGAGATAAGAGTCTCATAGACTTGCTTGCCCAGGCTGGCTTCAAACCACGATCCTCAGATCTCAGCCTCCTGAATAGGAGGATTATAGGAGTGAGCCACCAGCATCCAGCTAATACCTGCTTTTTGCCTTAAATAAAAAATACGGCTCCAGGTTCTGGGGGAAAGAAAGCTGAATAGCTATTCTTGCTATTCTACAAATAAGTACATATTTTAAACCCAGCCCCTTTATTGTCTTTAACAAAGTGGAACACCTCCCACCGTTCTTCCATATTAAACACTAAGTTTCTAATTAATTTAATATTGATTAAAATCATACAGTGACAAACCCAAAAGAGTAGATAACAGGAAAAATGGATAACAAGTAATCAATGCCTAGAGGGAAGGAATTAGCAATGGCATCAGTCTAAAAGGCTGCTGTGTGGATCGGGAGTGGTAGGACAGCATAGGGGGACTGTAAGATAGTGTGTACTGTCTGATGTTCTTCCCTTTCCATCTGAGACTGTTTTGGGAGTGGCACCAATTATTGTCACACCCACACAAGGATTGAGACAAAGTATACACACACACACACACACACACACACACACACACACACACACAGCTATGCATCCAGGTGTATCTTTGTAGAAATCTCACTTATTTCTGTCTTTCTCTGCACACACACACACATATGTGTATACAGGTACATATATATATATATATATATATATACATATATATATATATATATATATATAATTTTAAAAAGTGATGGTAGTTGAAGGTTTCACTTTGGAACTCAAAGTTCAAAGTGAAATGTCATTTTCTTAAGATCCTAAATTGCATAGAGTAGGTGGAAGAGTAAGGTTATCTATTTATCTGTCTATCTGTCTGTCTGTCTATCTATCTATCTATCTATCTATCTATCTATCTATCTATCCATCTATCTATCCATCTATCTATCCATCTATCTATCTATCTATCTATCTATCTATCTATCTATCTATCTATCTATCTATCCATCCCATTGGACAATACAGAATTTCTTGAAAGCAGCATAAAATCATTAAAGGAAGTGTGCTTTTATGTATCACAAATTGCAAATTTTTCAGTAAATTCAATTTCTCAAGCACAGTTGACCTTCTTAAGTAAATCACTAGAGATTTTGAGAGAATATTGTATCTCTTCTTAACATGAGGTAAAGCAGCCTGATTCTAATATCCATCCAAGAACTTTCATTTGCTCTTTCTTCTAGCACCTGTTCCCTCTGGACCCTGTTTCTTTTCTTTCTGTACTTCTCAAGACCTCTCTCTCTCTGTCTCTTTTCATTCCTCCTTTTCTTATTTTTCTGTCATCCTCAGCTTGATCAATAAGATTTCACCGAAAACTAGGAGGAATCTTGAAAGTCATTGAGCTTCCCACATCAATGTGTGAAGGGTTCAAGAGAAGGTAGATGGCGTGTTCAAGGTCACTTTGCTTGCTGATGACACATCAGCACACAAGTTCTTGAATTGTAGTCCCCAAGATTTTTCTTTCTAAGAGCTCTACTTTCTAAGTTTCCAGACTGGTCTCACTCAACTTCCTAATAGTAGTTTTGCGTTCCCTTCTACCACCTGACTGTCCTCCTTCCTGAGACTCCCCTCCACCTCAATCACACCAGGTTTCCCAGATTTTCCAGGTTCCAATCTCATCACTGTCAGAGCTCAAATGTTATCATTTTTATTACCCCTGCCTCAAGATGGTTTTGCTAACAAGTGTTTTCTTTCCTTCCACCTGTTTGTTACATCTGTTACATCTATTGTATCTTTTTAGCCAATCTTCTCCTTCCAAACCTAATAACATTCTTGTTGTTTTGAATTTTCTAATATTGCATGGCTAACTACTTGTTTAGTTTTATCATTCAATTTGCTTTCTTATTTTACTGTACAAGTGGTATGTAACTACTTGTGGCTGTGGCATGTTTGAAGTTGCCTCACAACTCCTAAAAGAAAAATCTCAAAAATAATTTAAAAATAATAACTACTGCTTCAATGAAGATTAGCATCAATGATTTAGTTTCTGGAAGAAAAGAATAGTTACTTGTTTATGTGCCTGATTGATTCTGTAGAAATTTTTATGTTTTTCATTATCAGAGCCATGAATTAATTTGTCTTACTAAGAGTTCTAAGAAGAGCTATTTTACTTGTCTATCAGCGGAATTCCATGCTAGAATGGGCTTCACAGAGTTCTGTGTCTTTTTTAGAGATAACAATGACTCTATTCAGAGGCATGGGGGCCAGTCCTTAGAGCCCAGTTACCACAGTGAATAGAGAGAATGAACTTACCCTGAGGATGAAGCATAGAGTCAGTGTCACTTAGTTCCAGAACTCCATTCCATTTGCAATATCTAGTATATGTCTGAGTCAAGCAGAAAAGGTCAGATAAGTTGATGTTAGGGAAATGAACCCTAAGATATGTATTCAAATGCTTTTTTTTTCTTTCATGCGATTGTTTCTAACACATTTATAAGATTATTTCTTTTTTGCTTTGTTTGTCCCTCCCCCACAATATAAGCCCTGCTTTCACTGTATTTGATGGTATAATTTGTGGAGGGGAAGGGGAAAAACAAATCGTTTAAATAGGGATACAGGTGGACCCATTGCAACAATGAGATGTACAAGGCGTGATGTCGAAAATGAACTTTACAACTTTCATGTGGGGGGGGGCGGGGAGGATTGGGGGGGCGGGGGGAGGAAGGGAAAGGATGGGAAGGGGAAACAAAGGAGGAGGCTACAATGCTTGATAAGAAATGTACTCATTATCTTGCCCATGTAATCGTAACCCCTCTGTACAGTATTTTCACAATAAAAAAAAGAACTCCATTCCACTGTGTAACACTGTGAGCATGGTCATTTGTAATATTTTCTAACTTTGCCCAAGAGAACCTGCTACCTGAAAAGAAAAATGGCTGCATTTATGGGGTTTTTGTTTGTTTTGTCTGGCCCTGGGAGCTGTCCCTGAGCTCTTTGGCTCAAAGTGAGTGCTCTACCATTTGAGCCACAGTACCACTCCCAGTTTTCTGGTGGCTAATTGGAGATAAGAGTGTCACAGACTTTCCTGCCCAGGCTGGCTTTGAACCGCAATCCTCAGATCTCAGCCTCGTGTGTAGCGAGGATTACAGGCATGAGCCACCAGCACCTGGCTTATTTATGATTTTTAATAATTGCATTTTATTGTTATGGTGGAGGTGATATACAGACATGTGACAGTTATGTAACTCAGGTAATAAGTACATTTCTTTTTGAACCATGTCTCCCCTTCCCTCCCTCACTCCCAGTTTTTCCACTGCTATATATGTCTCACTTTTTTCTGTGCCCCACTTTACCTTCCTAAAGACAAATAAGCTAACAAACAAGAAAAATGGGAAAGGCAACAACGAAGTTTCTTCTTTCCAGCATTTGAAGTTAATTTCATAAAATATTACTTTATATGATCATATGCACATGAAGAAATGTTCAACATCTCTGGCCATAAAAAATCAAATATCAATTTTTATGGGACATTTCCCTTGTTTCACTTATTGTGAAGCTTAACTACACGCATTCAATTATTCAGATGTGTGTACTGAAGGTGCACTATGTACCAGCTCTATGCTACGAATTGGTTAAAGGTAAAAATGAGGAAGACATGGCTGTTACTGATGAAGACATGGCTGTTACTTAATGACACTTCTGACTGATATAGTTACTCAACTTGTGGCTCCTCAAATTTCTGCTTTCCAGTATAGACATGCTTTGGACTACGTGCCAGCCTTTTAGAATCAGCATCTTTAGGTGAAGGGTATAGGTGTTCTTATGGAATCTGTGTTTTAAAATAAGAAAAACATGTCATGTGAAAGCAGATTAAAGTTTGGGAAACTCCAGACTAATGAATTTTGTTGTGTCACATACTCTAGATCATACAAGTCTGCGCTATCTTTTTACCGTGACCAACCCTGTACTCTGGGTAATATTGAGCCCTCAGTAATCACTAAAGGTATATGTCATAATTTGTGCAGTGCCATAATTTTCTCTAGTGGTAGAAATTTAATATGATATTTTTCCTATTGACTCGCATTAAAATGTTCTTTTATGTTTGTTAAGATAGTTTTTAGTCTTTATTATTTATATTTTATTTTCTCATTTTTGTTTGGCTTAAGCTACATCCATGGCATTTTATGAATAATTTTCTAAGAAATTGGGAAAGGCCTAGTAACTAAGCGATTACATTTGTTAAACATTTTTTAATGAGATTTTTAACTAGGTACTTCAACACTTTAAAGTTCAGCATTCTTTCAGTAGACTCAAAAAAGAAATTAATTCATTATTGGAATGATACTCTCACTTCAAAGAAATCTGCATAGAATAACATGCTACTTTTCATTGGCCTCACGGAATTATTCTGTCTCAAAACAGACTATTTGTTTTGACAGTCATTTTTTTTCCCTAATAGGTGGC